TTTTTTTTTTTTTTTTTTTTTTTGTTTTGTAAAATTTTTTAATATTTTAAGAAAAATATAAGAAATATCTTTTAAAAATTAATGTACTAATAATAATCATATTATTATATATATATATATATATACTTTTTTTTTATTTTTTAAATTCTAAAAAAAAAAAAAGAAGAATAATAAGAAGTAATAAAATATAAAAAAATACAAAATTAGTTAAAATATAAAAGTAAATATAATAAAAAAAAAAAAAATGGTGGATGAAACATCAACAATTAATAATACCAGTGGAACAACTAATAACAATCAAGGTGAACATATTCAAGTAAAAGTAAGATCACCAGATGGGGATGAAGTATTTTTTAAAATAAAAAGAAAAACAAAACTAGAAAAGTTGATGGAAGTTTATTGTAATCGCCTTGGTCAATCAATGGAAGCAGGTAAAGAAAAAAAAAATAAAAATAGAAAATGATAAAAAAAAATAATAAATAATTTGAATATATATTTACTTATTTATTTTCTTTTTTTTTAGTTCGATTTTTATATGATGGAGATAGAATACATGGAGATAGTACACCTGATCAACTTTGCATTGAAGATGGTGATGTAATTGATGCAATGGTACAACAAACGGGAGGAAATATTTAAATTTTTTTTTTTTCTTTATAAATATTTTGAGAAATTAAAAAAAAAAAAAAAAAAAAAAATATATTAATAATGTTTGGCATATTTATATATAAGAAATTAACTAGTCTTGTCTTCATAGTATATTTATATAAGAAAAGCGCTAAGTTTACATTTGTTCTTTTTATTTTAAATTATATATAACATTAATAAAAAAAAAAAATATATGATTTCAAATATTAATGTAATTTATAAAATATTAAAAATATCATATAAAATGTATATATATATATATATATTTATTATAAAAGGATACATAAATTAATAATTTGGACATTTTAATTTAAAAATAAAATAAAAAAGAGAAAAAAAGATGAAAAAATGAAATTTTAAAAATAAAGATAAAAAAAAAAAAAAAAAAAAGTAGAATATATTCCTATTTCATTAAAAAGATTTCTGTATATATTTTTTTTTTTTTTTCATTTTATATAATTTTTTATATTTTTCCATTTATTTTATAAAAATTTTAAATTATTTATTACATACGTTCAATAGTTTTAATAATATTTTCTATTATCACAAATTTAAATTTTTATAAGTTATTTTTCTTCATTTTTTAAATATAAATTTTTAATAAATATTTATTTGATTTTAAGAATATCACATTATGATAATAAACAAAATGCAAATATATAGTGCATTTAAGCCTATGTAAATTTAAAAATAATAAGAAAAATATAAAAAATAAATTTAAAAAGATATATTATGATAATGAAATCTACAATGTTCTATAATAATAAAAAGAAGAATAAAAAAAAAAAAAAAAAAGATTTTTTTAAATACAAAAATTACAATTTCTTCTTGTATATATTAATGTTATTGTTAAGTGTTGTATATTTGTATAACTATTGTTTTTTTTTTTTTTTTTTTTTTTTTTTTTTTTTTT